TGATTAGTGTTATGCTGTCACTGTAAGTTACAACCACAACAGATGGGAATTGTTACTAAAGTCCAGGCTGGCAGTGTAGTCATCCCTCTGTTATCTCTTCTGTCCACTTACCACCACAAAGAGGCCGGATAATACATGTGAACAGAGCCATGAAAAACCACTTGACAGAAGACCTCATTAGACTGGTAGCTTTCTCTCACCCTCACTCTCATTCTTATGAGAAACAAACAAACATTTGGTGAGCAGGGTATCAACATGTTCTCTAGAAAACTGAAAAGATACTGACACAAGATCTTTTCTGAACATTTCCAGCTGTCTTTTTAAAGGCCTAAAGAAGAATTCCTAGTCAGAATTGGTCAATTCTAAAGCATATAACTTAGCTTACTTGAATATGTGACAGTACTTTCCCCAACAGAGCGTTCATTGATTTTGAAAATAAACATTGAAAAAAACAGGGTTGCCATTATGAAGCAAATCATAAGTGTTAGGACCTGCCCAGTGTCCTAACATCATCTTATGCAAAGTCCCCTTTCAGAGAACCCTACCTCATCTTTCTCTCTATTCCCATGAGGTGTGCACCTCCTCTCTCTCTCTCTCTCTCCTTCTCTCCCTTCCCTTCTCCCTTCCCCCCAATAAAACTTTGCATATGGATGCCATGTCTGCATGGCCACCAGCAGCATGGCATGTTTCCTCGGCTCAAACCTGCCAAGCCTGTTAGGATTCTGCCACTCTAGCTCTATGACTGAAGATGTGCAGTTCAGTAGCTAAGTAAGGGGTCCTACATCTCTAGCCAGAGATCTAGCCATGTGCCTCACTCCAGTTTACAACCTGCCTCCTGGCAGGTCTGCCTAAAGTTGTCCTCAAACCATCAAACTATCAAAAAAAAAAAAAAAAACTTAATTCAAGATACAGAATAAAATCTGTCTTTGTCTCTCACAGCTCCCCGACAATAGGGATAAACTTAAATATCTGGAAAGCAAGGCTGCTAACACCACAAGCAGAAGTTTCAGCTGTGGCATTTAAGGTGTACCATGGGAGAGATGAGAAAGCCCATGAACAGAAATGCCAAATGTTGGCACACGCTACCCCAGCAGCAGCTGCACAAGGGCTTCCAGGTCCCTGTTTTAGAAGGCCACGAGAGCTAGTGCGTGCCCTGCCACGCAATCAATTGAGTCTTGTTCAAAGTGCCACCTAGTGAGATAACTGGTCAGCTGGCTGCCCTCTGTGCACCTCGTGGCATGGGGACATCAAACAAAGACCTCCAGCAGACCTCCTAGGCTTGGCCACCAGCTCACAGGGAACCCAGGATACAGCATGGGGAGATCCATTTCCTTCCTGTTGGACACCAAGCCACTCATTCAGTCCTGAGGGAGTTTGGGGATACTACCTCTCCTTCTTGTTTCCCTATTGTCAGGGTAGGGGGGCAGACTTACCCACTTCACCAGACTTAATTGTACTTTCAGGGTTACTTAATGGGAAGAGATTTTCCAGCTAAGGTAGGAGCTTTCAGTTCATTTGCTTCCCCCATGTGCCTCACTCCAGACCAGTCAGCAGTGCTTCCCATGCACAGCGACACAGAGAGGACCCTGCTCTCTCTCAAGTTCCAGAGGACATCAGGATCCACTGCCTTGTCACCAATTCCAGAAGAATGAGATCTCACCCCCCAACTTTTCTCTACCTGGTTCCCTCATCTAATTAACTACTCAGCTAATTGTTACAGAATCACCATAGAGCTGGAGTCCAAGGATCATCAAATATATCCAGGTGGTAAGGAAAAGGAATAGTAACAATCAAAAGGTATTACACCCCGAGACCAAAAAGGGTCTGGGCTCGGCAAAAACAGACTTTAATATAACAATCTGTTATTGTTAAATGCTCTCAAAAATTGATTACCTGTGTCTCCTGGATGCTAAACTAGTAAAGGAAACAGGTGCCT